GGGACAGCGAGAGCCAAGGGGCGCGGCGGGCGGGCGGTGGGCGGCAGGGGCCCAGACGGCTCCAGGAGGAGCTCCCTCGCCCCGCTTCGCCGAGACCCGGAGCCAGGGACGGGAGCCGGTCCCACGGCTGTGCCCCGGTCCTGCCACCGGCCCCAGCAGGCCAGGCACTTCACTGTCCGTAGCCCCCACTGCCGGTCAGCTGAGCCCAGCCCTCATCCCGCCCCGTCTGCCAGGAACTGGGGAGGAGATGGTGGGGTCCCTCAGTGCTCGCCGCATGGGTCATCCAGGATTGTGGACGGGGAAGGACAAGGAAGAGCGCCCTGGGCCCTTCCTGGAAGGCCTTTGCAGGTGCCAAACCAGGCAGCCCCCTCAGTTCAGCTCTGCCCACCCGGAAGTGGAGAAAAGCCTCCGAGTGGAAGGGGGCGGGCCAAGGTCAGCCCAGCGCTGCCCGTTCTCACCTGGTTCCAACGCACTCAGGTCGGCTCCGGACCGCCGGCCCTCCCCACTCTTGTCCTCGGAGCTGGGCAGCTTGGAGCCGGGCCCGGGGCTGCCCGAGGGGCGGACGGATAAAGTGCACGAGGCTCCGGGACGCGGTGGCGGTGGCGGTGTGGGGCAGCTGGCAGGGGGCTTCGGGGTAGGCGAGTGGCAGCAAGGGGACAGCTTGGCAGGGCCTATGGTGGCAAGTGAGGGAGTGCCCTTGGCTGTGGGGGTTAAGGCAACTGGCTTGTGGGTGGACTTCAGGGTCTTCTCCTGGGTGGGCTCTTCCTGCTCCAGGTGGTGGTCCTCGGGCTTCCGCTGTTGGGGGGGGGAGGGAGAGGCTCAGCCGGCTCGACCCCCTGCTCAGGGCGTTGGGGGGTGGGGAGGCCTGGAGCAGAGAGGGAGGAAGGAGCCCTGGGTCCCCGCTGGGTGTGGCCTGGGGCAGGTACCTGGACGGGCGCAGCCCTCTGCTGCTGCTGCTGCTGCTGCTGCTGTAGGGCATAGAGCTCTTGCTGGCGCAGGAGCTGGGACCGCGAGTACACGGGGAGCTGGCCGGGGTGCTGCACGTGGGAGGCGGGGCCCCGGCCCCCATACATGGGGGGCCACAGTGAGGCCTGGTCCATGACGTCAGCTGTGGGCAGGGCCAGAGGAACCATCAGGCAGATGGGCCAGGACCGGGCCCTGCGCCCCGTGTCCCGAGCCCCCTGGGCCGGCCCCTTCCCCGCCCCTCACTTACCTCGCGCCTGCTTCCTGGGCCTGGGCCACGGGCGGGCGGCCCCGCCTCACTGTCCCCACGGCCGTGTGGGCTGCTCCCTTCTCCAGACCCACTTCCCACAGCCCCCTCCCCATACAAACAGCCGGCCCGGGAGGCTCTTACCAAGCGCGTGGGGGGCTGTGTGGGGCGTGGGCTCCGAGGGCAGAATGACGAGCTGTGCAGGGCTGTCCTGGGAGAGGGGGAAGACGGAGGGTATGGAGCCGGGCACAGAGGCGGCGAAGCCGGGGGGCAAGTTCTGGTGCAGGGCGGGGTGCCCGAGGCCTGGGGAGACAAGGCCCGGTCACCAGGGCGCGTGCAGCACCGGGTCCTGCCACTCTCGGGCCTCCCACACCAGGCTGAGGACCGTCCAGCCCGGTCAGGACGCATGCCCTGCCCCAGGCATCCTGGCTGTCCCTCCCACCCCCCCGCCCCCCCCCCCCCCCCCCCCCCCCCCGCCGCCTGCCCTGGGAGCACTGACCGTAGGAATGCCCCCCCATCCACAAAGAGGGGCTGCGGGTGCGGGGCAGCCACGGGGGGTGGGCGGGGTGGGGGTGGGGGGCTGGGTCCCCGCCCAGCTGGCTGTTCTGCAGCGAGGAGCCGCTGGCGATCATGAGATGAGGGGCCAGGTCTCCGGGGCAGCCGCCGGGCGGGTGGATCCGGGAGAACTCCAGGCGGTCCTTGTCCCTGTGCATCACCGAGGGTGGAGGGGGCTCAGCCCAACCGCCTGGCCACCTACCCACCTCCTCCACCCCATCCTGTGGACATCAACCTTGGAGGAGGGAGTGAGGCTCAGAAGGTCCCAGGTACACCACAGGATAGGGCGGGCCTCAGTATTGGGGGCCTCCTCCCCCACAGCGGCCCCGGCAGCAGAGGGAAAAGTTCGTAGAGCTCCCCTCGACACGGGCAGAAACCCCAGCAAACCCGGGGTGGGGGTAGACAGACTCGCCCGAGTCAGGCCACAAAGCCTGACCCCCCCGCCCCCCCCCCCGCCCCCGCGGCGGCTGAAGCCCTGTTCTCACTGAAGCAGGAGCTCCCGGCCGGCGAGCCCCAGGCGGTCCTCGGACAGGCGTGCCCTTTCTTCCTCAGCCTCCAGGTCCAGCACGTGGGTGGAGCGGGGCCCAGCTCCTGCTGCGGACATGGCAGAAGGGACAGGGGCTCGGGCGGCCGGAGAGCCAGAGGCTAAAGCAAGCAGGGCAAGGGGGTGACAAACCGAGGGAGGGTCTCCCGCCCCATGGGCCTCGGGGGTTCTGCCGAAGGCAGGTGTGGGGAGTGGTGGCTTCGAGGGATGGGGGCGGGCCGGTCAGCCCAGCGAGGGACGGGACCGAAGACGTGGGGCGGGGACGGCGGGTGAGTCCAGGGCCCGCCCTTTGTTAGCTCCAGATGGGCAGAGGAGAGCAGGCCGGCCACACTCCCCGTCTCCCTCCCTTGCGCAGGGGCTTACCTTTGAACGCAGGGGCTGCCCGGCCCTGCCGCCCGGTGTTGGTGCCGTAGGCCGTCTCGGGCCGGCTCACCGTGTCCTTCTGCCGGGACAAGGCCACCGCGATGCCCACGGGAGGCTGCCTCACTTCCGCGTCACTGTGTGGGGTGTCGTGTTCCCGGCTTCGGGCACAGTCGGGCCTCTCTGCCTCGCCCGGGGCCTGGGCTGGGCCTTTGGAGGCGGGGAACTTCACATCCTGCTGGGCACAGCTGGCCTTGAGGCCACCCAGGCCCACGAAGGGTGCCTTCTGGCCGACGACCAGCGCTTGGTTGCTGTATTTGAGCAGGTTCTTCATGGCCGAGACCTCATCGGGTGGGGCGGGCAGATCCTGGGGCAGGAGTGCGGCCTGCTGCAGGCTGCCGCTAAAAGGGTCCAGGTAGGTGCCAGCCTTATGCTCCTCGCCAATGGCCATGGCAGTGCCCTGGCCCGACTGGATGCTCCATGGGGGTAGGTGGGGCCCACCATAGCCCAGAGACGCCAGTTCCAGGGACGTGCGCTTGGCTTCGGCCCCACTGCCCCCTGGCTCCACCTCGGGGGTCACCAAGTGCTGCTGATGCCGGATCCGGGCCACCTTCTGGGCCCCAGGGGGACCGGAGGGGGCCTCCTTGCTGGCGGTCTTATCTAAAGTGCAGCAGGCCTGGGCGACCTTCCCACCCAGCGGGTCCTGGTGACTCGGCCGGGCACAGTCCTGTGAGTGGGCAGGCAGCTCGAAGTAGCCACTTTTGTCCAGACCACCTTTGGGGAGCCCGGAGAAGGGGGTCTCGGGGCCTGTGCTGTTGAGATACTCCAGGCCCTTTAGCCGGGGGTTGAGAGCCGCCTCGAAGCCCCCAGGCCGCCGCTCGGCCTTGCCCTCGGCCTTCAGGTGAGCGTAGGAGACCCCATAGGGCACAGCGTGTTCAGGGGCCAAGGCCCCCTCGAGGTGCCGGTCTTTGCCGTCACCTGCCACCGCACAGGCCTCGGCTGCCTGAAAGGGGCGGCTCTTGTCGGCCAGGTGTCCCACGGAAGGCACGAAGGTGGGCCCGCTGGCCTTCAGGTCTCGGGGGACTTTGTCCTGCAGCGGGCAGAGCCCGTCCGGGCCCGCGTGCAGCTGCAAGCAGGGGAAGGAGCCGGTGGCTGTGCTGAGGGGCGGGGGCGGCCCGGCGGGCAGGCCAGACGGCACCGCGTAGGACGCGGCCTGGCACCGCGTCTGCCGCCTCTCCAGGCCCTCGCTGAAGGCCGGCCCGGGCTCTGCAGGGCCCGCCGCCTCCTTGGTGCAGCGTCCGGAGGCCGCGACGCCCACGCCGGGCCGCACCAGCATGCCCCCCGCGCAGCTGGCCAGCGAGGCCTTGCCCGTCTCGCCGTTGAGCACCTTGGTGTTGAGGAGGCAGGAGGCGAGGTGCTTGGGGCGGCCCTCGCAGGCGCCCCGGGGCGCCCCGCCGCCGTCCTTGCAGTGGCCGTCTGCCGGCACGGGCAGCACGAGCTTGTGCCGCTCCTTGCCGCCGTCCTCCTCCCCCGCTGCCGGCCTCTCCTTGCCCTCCGCAGCCTTGCCGGCCTTCTCTCTGCCCAGCTCTCTGCCCATGAGGAAGCGGTCGAACTCCCTGGCACCCTTCTGCAGGGGGCCGGCCTCGCCTCGGTCGCGGCTACAGGAGCTGATGGGGTGGCCGGGGGCGGCTCGGGCCACGCCGGGGAAGTTGTGGTTGGCAGGCAGGAGGGTGGGCTGGGGGGGCAGGTTGCGCAGGTAGAAGTTATCTGCGTGCCGAGAGAACCGCGCGGTCACCGGAGGGCTGGGGGACTTCCCCAAGACACAGGCTCCGGGAGCCTGTCCAAGGCCTGCTGGCAGTTACCGTCTGAGAAGGTTTAAAGTTGTAAAAGAGACCTCATGTCGGGTCTACCCCTTTAACCGTGTTTAAGTGCGCCGTCGGCTGGCACCGCGAACCTTCACGGTGCCGTGCAGTCGCCACCACCGTCCGTCTCCAGAACTTTATCGTCATTCTGTCCCCGGGTAAACAAACACTAACTCCCTCTCCCTAGGAAGGTTCTGACTTGCGTTCGGCCCCCCCCGGGAGGTGGGAGCTGCGAATGGCCCGGGGCCCCTGCCCTGCCCGGCGCCCACAGGCCCGGCGCCCACAGGGATTAGAGCTGGGGGGCGTACGGGGCCACAGGCATCTCCCCCGCCCCAGGCAACGCCAGGGCCTCGCAATCGGCCATCAGAACCTTAAAAGCAGGGGAGGTCGCTGACTCACGGTTCGGGGCTGTCTAAGTGGCCGGTGGCACACAGCATGTGGCGTGATGTGGCCACCACACCGCTGGCTGTGCCCGGACACACCCGGCCACTGCAAGCGGGGCCGTGCACTGTGGACTGCGAAGTGCCCGTCTCTGACTAGGCCCCTGTAAGGGCTAAGACCCAGGAGAAAGTGAGGCCAAGTCTGAGGATGGGCTGGGGGCGGAGGACCCCGCTCGCCTACCTCCTGAACACCCTGGCAGGCCCCCAGCTCCTCTCTGCATGTTAACTGTGGCAACCTCAGGCCGGGGGATCCGGGGATGCTTTGAAGGGAGAAGAGGAAGTGATCGCATCTGGCAGCCCCCCACAGCTCTGGGCCCATGGAGGCTGGCGGTGGGTGGTGGGCAGTAGGGGGCAGTGTACCCCCAGCTCCCTGGGCCGGGCCGTGGCCTGCTGTCCAGCCTGGGCCCTGGGCCAGCCCTTCCAGCCTGGGGCCACGCTCTCTATGTGGGTCCCAGGCTGGCCCTGGGGTCGCACGCTGCTCCCAAAGCTGGGCTCCTGTCTCTGTGGACCTGGGGTACCCCGAGGGGGCAGACAAGGGGGAACAAAGAAACATTTGGAACTTGTAAAACTGTCCTCACGCACAGAAGTTCCTTGTCAATTTACTGCTAATTAAAACTGGCAGGGAGGGGGGCAGGGGGGCGGGGCGCTGGGGAAGAGTAGCCTGGGTGAAACCTAATTAGCTTGATTTCCGAAACCAAAACGTTCTTGGGTGGGGCTCCACCACAGCACTGAAAGCCGAGAGGCCACGAGCGCCCCATTACTGCAAGGGCAGTTCTGGGCTCGGGGTCACCGGGTCGGGCTGTCGCCCCTGACAAATGCTGTCAAAACGGCTGCACGCGTGGGAGTTTGGGGGACCCCGCCTGGGGCCGGTGGGGGCTGTCCTCTGGCTGGGTAGCGGAGCACCTGGCCCCACATGCGGGAAACTTGGTTTCCGGGGAGCATCCCTCACCTACCCATCTCCTGGGGCAGGGGGTGGCGGGCTTTCCTGGCCCTGGCACAGGCCGACCCTTGTCCGAATCAATCCCAGCCAGCCCATCCTCGGCTGGGTCAAGGCCAAAGCTTTCCGGACCTCAGCTGCCCCGCCCGGCCCAAAGGCACAAGACACAGCAATGTCCGGGAGTGGGAAGCTTGTTGGGAGAAAGGACTGGGGCAGGGCTAGGAGGACATGAGCACTGGCCATAGGCTCCACCCCAAAACTGCCTCACTGGGGGTCACCTTGCTGGGGGCCTCCCTTCCTTCCCTGAGGCCCCCCCTTCAGCACACTCTGATTGAACTGCTAGGTCCTGAAGCCCAGCCCGGTGTCCTGTCCATCAGCCAGACCCTGCTGGGTGCTTTGTGGTCCCCTCCTCTGCCTCCACTGAGGGCCCCAGGCTTGGGGCTCCTTGGGATCCCCGGAGCTGTGTGTGTCCTCACCCAGGCTGGCCCCTCTCCCTGGGCTGGCTCAACCTGTCCTCCACCATGTGTGTCCAGCCACCTCCTGGATACCCCTAGGAAAGTCCCTCTGTGTGGAAGACGAACTCACCCCTCCCCTCTGAACTGCTCCCCCGCAGGTGCACCCCTCCCACAGCCTGGCCATGAATGGGGGTCACCTAGGACCTCTCGACCTGCATGTCCCCTCCACATCCCCAGTGGGACCCCCATGCCCCAATTCAGGTCCATATCACTGGTCATCTGAAACATGGTAAGGAACCCAACAGCCTCCCTGCCCATCTACTGGCACGACCCCAGAGAAACCTTCCTAAAATGCAAATGAGATGTGATCCCATCCAGGAAAAATCTAGGAGACAGGGCACTGAGGGCCCCAGCCACTCCCCCGGTGGCCACATCTCCTGTGGGCTCCCTGATGGGATCCATGACCTTGAGGTTGGGCTTTTGCATGAGAGTGCGTGTGCACGCCCGAGAGGGCACGCATGCACGTACACACGTGTGCACGTACACCCTCCCCACGGTCCCGTCAGCACTGCCTTCTCATCAGCAAAGCCCTGACCTCGGTGTCCCCTCTCCAGAGACACCTCCTGGGGGCCCCCTCCTGCCGATGGAATGAGAGCCCCTCCTCTGCCTGCTGGGGCACATTGATGCCCCAACACAGCCTGCAGCCTCTGTCTGACCTGAGGCCCTGGTGTGCAGCTTGGGTGAGGCAGGAAGTACAGGCTTCTGGGGGCTTCCTCCCCCCCACCCCCGCCCGATGGCATCCGCCCCCCCGAGCTGCCCAGGGCGGTGGGGATCGGGAAATCGTGTGTGCAGGTCAAGGCTAGGTGCCGAGGGGCTAGGCACCACCCCCTAGGGGCTTCGGTCGTTTGGGAATCTTCCACCGGAGCCGGAGATAGCCAGACAGCATGGCTGTGTCTTCAGGGTGCGCACCTAACCCCAGCACATGACCTGCCTCTTGGCCATGGTCCTGAGACTTTAAATCCTCCGGGAGCCTGAGAAGCAGGCTCCCTGTCCTCGGTCCCTACCCCGCCGTGGCCTGAGACCCGGAGAGGAGGGTCTGCCCAGGCGGGCCGTCTTCACCTGGTACCCCAGAAGCCCCCAGCCCCGCCCGGCCCCACCCTCCCGGATGCCCTGCGCCCCAGACCCCCAGCGAGGCCCCAAGCCAGCACTTGCCTTTTTGGGTTCCATAGAAACGATGTTGCCCATAGAGAACATTGCTGTTTCCATGGTGATCCAAGTGGCTCATGGGTAGGAAGGTGGATGCCAGACTCCCCGAAAATCTGGGGTACCCTGGAGCTGGAGGAGCAAGGACACTGGCTGCAGAGGCACCCCCGAGGCCCCGGCCCGCCTGCGCCCTGACCCCAGGGAGGGGAGAAGCGGTGGGCGGCCCAGGAGCGGCGCCCCGCAGGGCCTGGTATACAGCCCGCCGGTGGGAAATCAACCCATCAATACATCATATTAACTCTGACTCGACTAACACCATCCCTCTGGTGCGGCACAAATTGAATTGCTGATGGGCTGGGAGAGAGGAAGATGGCAGAGGGCGCCTGCGGTCCCTCCCCCAGTAGCACACGGCGGGAGCTCTGAGGCAGGGCAACAAAAGCTCCTCTCGGAGAGGCATCTTGGGAGGACGGGGCCGCAGCGGACCCACATGCCGGACGGAGACCCTTGCTGCACAGGCCGAACTGCCAGCCAGGACAGCCAGGGCCAGGTGCCACCTCGGCCCACGCCATCCAACGGGCACCTAAGTGCTCGGGCAGCCTGCACCCTGGGGCTGGCGCCGCCGTCGGGGGGTGCCGACTCGCATTTTGCTGGGGCTGCCAGCATGGCGGGTCCTCCAGCGGCCCGGCCTCCACTCTGAGATCTACAGAGGGAGCTGGCCCCCAGCCCTGACACCCCTCCTGGGGTCTGAGTCATGCCAGGCAGGCCCTTCTCCGTCCCTCTGGGGCCTACACCATCCTTGGGGCCTGGCCCTGCCCAGCACAGGAACGCCAGCCATACCCTGGAGCTGGCCCCACCTGTTGGCCTTGGACCTTGGGGGCTCCTGCCACCTGGGATGCACACCCTGCCCCCAGAAGGGACGAGGACAGACAGGCATGAGCACAGCCTGGGGGAGCTGTGTCTGCTGGACGTCCAGGGCCACCAGCCGCCCTGACTGGGGCTCCTCACCGCTGGCCCTTCCCCCTCGTGGCCCAGCAGGGAGGGGCGGGGGTGGGGGCCCACAGCTGGGGCAGGCAGGAGACAGTGTTACTCTGACTCCTGCTTGGAGGTGACGCTCTGAACGTGCTCTGTAGGAGTTCCTCTCACCCCACGGTTGTCCCAGGAGCAATCAGCTCCCAGGAGCGCCTTCCCGCCCTTCAAGGTGGCCTTGGCTGTGAGGAGGGAACAGCCATCCAGGGTCTTCCCCGGGGAACAGCGGCCACAGGGACAAGGAGGAGCTCGAGTGGGGCCCTGCGGACAGCAGTCCTGGGCGGGGAGGGCAGGCTGGCCCCCCCAGGCTGGTGTGTGTGTGGCCTGTCGCCCTTGAGAAAAGGGAGCCGTGAGCCCCACGCCTGGGGAGCGGGCACCAGCACCCCTCCTAGTGTCACAGCGGAGTCCGGACGAGCCCCGGGGCAGAGAGCCCCGTTTCATCCTGCCCATTAACTGCTTCCCTGAGTCCATTTACGACAGAAGCCCTCTGCTGTTCGAGTGGAACGTTCTCTGTAACAGCTGGTGGCTGAGCACCCCACGGAGTATCTTCTGGGAAACACCTTTCCAGAAGGGGCGGTGCCAGAACTGGGGGACAGGCCTCCAGTCCCCCGCGTCCTCGGAGGGCCTGGGGCATTACTCCCGGCCTGAGGCTGGTCTGTCTGGATACAGAGGCCGCAGAGGCGGAGGGTGGAGGGTGGAGGCCGGCGTGGGGGCTCTGTCTCAGTGCCGGGGGTGGCGGTCGAGGCAGCTGGGGTCAGCCCTGGAGCCCACCGCGAGCACCAGGGGCCCGGGAGTCCCCTGGCAGGCCTGAGGCTGGGGGCAGGGCGGGGGGGGTGCGCTGTGCCACCGTGGATCAGGCTGCGTAGCTCAGCTCAGAGGTAAGAACGCAGCCGCAGGGGCAGAGCTTGGAATGGAAAGCGGTCAGCACCAAATGGGGGCCGTCTGGGATCCCCCAGCCCGAATGGGGTGGCCTGCACCCTGATCCCAGCGGGCTCGGTCCCTCAGACCCAGATGATGCAGTTTGGTTCGGAGGTGGAGCTGTGGAACCCTGTCCCCAAGGGGCGTTCCCGGCAGCCCCATCTGGAGGCCGGAGAAGTCCCTGGATGGCTCTCTGCTTAGGGCTCACGTCCCCAGGCACATGTGAGGGCTCGGGAAAGGTGCCAGCCACCGCCCCGGCCTGTCCCCTCCTAGCCCCCTCCTGCCTGGCCAACTGGCCTAGTTTGTGTGGGGAGACGCATCTGGAACAGCTGTTCCCTAGATTAAACTCAGCTCCTGGGAGACTTGACAAAAGCTGAGAGCCGGACGGGCCGGGAGCAGCCGGGGGCGGCGGGCGGGCGGGGGGCCGGGGCCTGTGTGTGCCGCGCGGGCGGGGGCCGGGGTGGTAAGCCACCGCAGCTGTCCCCTTTTAATTGGCCGCTGTTAAATGTTTTACGGGGCCTCGTTTTGGTAAACAGAAGTCTGTAAATTCCTCCTTCCCAGAACCCGTTTCCCGGGCGTGGACACCCCCGCCTCCCCGTGACCCCTCGGGAGGTCTAGGCCTGCCGCCCACCCGTGGCGTCCGCTGGCTGAGCGGGGAGCCCCTCCCTGCGGCGCCCTGGGTCGGAGAGGGGGTGTTCGGTGTTAGGGGGCCTGTCCGAGCCCCTCTCCTTTTGAGCCGAGCTGGTGGCAGTCCAGGCCAGGGAGCAGGGGACTCCCTCCCACCTCCAGCTGCCCGAGGCCCTGCCCTCGGGGATCCCACAGGGAGATTCGAGCTGTGGGGAGGAAGTTGGGGGAGAAGGAAAAAGCAGAAGGGGCATGGGTGGGGGGACTAGACGGGGACGTGGAGGGGGCCTCCCAGCCAAGCATAGAAAGGTCCCTTTCTTTTCGCCGAGATCATCCTCTCTGGACTGAAGAAAATAAAGCTGATTTTACAAACCACAGCAGCTGTCATGAGAAGGCATGAGGCAGGGCCGCTGTGGGTCCTTGACGGGGCCACGGCAGAGGGCGGGGGCTGTGGTTCTCAGGACGGCTCAGGGTGCAGGGAGAGGGGCAGGGGCTGGATGCCCAGGAGCCCAGGAGCCCACATTCCCGCAGGGAATATGGTGGTCCAGGACCCCGTTCCAGACCCTCGTAATCCTTGAGGTGGGAGCTAATTGACAGGTGGCAAATCTGTTAAGCAACGGCCCACGGTGGGGAGCCGGGCCCCAGGTCTGTCCCTGGCCTCCCACTGCCTTCCAGGCCCTGGAGGCTCTTGAGGCTCTTGATGGAGCTCTGGGGGAGGGGTCCCGGGCCTCAGTGGATGTCTCACCGATGACACCGTCCACCCTGCCCGCTGCTGTGAGTTGCCAGGACACTCAACCCCACGACATAAGTGAAAATGGGGGACCCTAGAGGGCCAAGGCCATCACCCGATGGGTGTGATGAAATGGGCATCCTGCCCGCTGGGGACTGCTCTTGGGTCCCTCGGGAGGCTGGAGGGCAGCCCCCCCCCTGGCCAGGGCGGGGGCGGGGGCGGGGGGGGGGGGCTGCGGTGTGCGGCCAGCCAACCAGAGGACCAGGGCTCTCTGGCGGGGAGGCCAGGGAGCCCCAGCCCAGGCCCACAGAGCTCCACACAGAGGCAGCACGCTCAGCAGACTCTGGGAGGCTCCAACCACCTTCACCCCGCCAACGTCCTGCCCGGCTCTCAGGACAGGATCCTTCGACGACAGACGCCCCTGTGCCCCGGGCCACTGTTGTCTCCCTGGAGGGTGACTCCCTCCCCTATCCTGAGGCTCCAATTGCTGGAAAGTTCTCACCGGCCATCGAGCCTCAGGTTGTAGCTGCCAGCTGATCCCAGCATCAGCTTCCAAGGGCAGCTCCCCACAACACGACCACTAGGCCCAACTGGCCACCCGGGGCGGGCTCCCAGCAGCTCAACTGCCCATCTGACCAATCAGAGCCCATCTCCTCTGGGTCAGGCCCTCTCTGGGGATCAGCAGGGGTAAGTTCCCCCAGATGGAGCCCAGCAGCACCCCCCCCCCCCCCCCCCCCGCCACCTCCTGCCAGCCCTGAAGGATCCCACACTTGCTTCACCCACGATGACCTCCACAGAGACACCCAGGGACACAGCTGGGCAAACGGCCCCTGCTCCTCGGGCCCTGACGCACTGCTATCATTTAGGATTCTGCCACAGGTACCAGGCTAGGGGTCATGGCCCAATGCCCGACACTGACTGGACGCCGGCTCCCTCCCACGAGACGCCCCTTTCACTCAGGACGTCAGCGGGTTTCCATTGTGGCGTCAAGTCTACCAGATGATCGGGACAGGCCAGAACTGGGTTAAGAAGGATTCTGAGGCTGCACCTACAGGCGGCTCGAGTGCGGCGATCGGCTAATCACGTCTGCCCGGGGAGGCGCGCTAACCTTGCCACAGCCCCTCCCCTGGTCCTCCCTGCTTCTGTCCACAGGCCCCCTCACGCCTGGTGGCCAGACCCCTGGGTGTCCCCCTGGACTTTGGGACGACCTGCCCTGCGTGAGACCCCTTCTCTGGGAGGGGGCGGGCTTTGGAAGCTCGGCCCTGGGGGAGTGCCCCGGCCTCAGCCTTCCGCAGCTGGGCGGCCAAGCGCAGGCTCGTGTGGATTCCTCTTCCATCCCACCTGTCGAGTTTCCAGTTCAGGCGCTCCCCACATACTCACTGCCCCCCCGCGGCCCAAGGCGCAGGGCCTGGCAGCCTCGGTCTCTTCCCAGGCTCGGAGGAGCACTAGGTGTTGGGGGAAGGGGCCAGGCTCCTGCAGGCGTCTCTGGAGCACAGGCAGCGGGCAGCCTGCCCAGGATCCGGGCGGCCTGTGGACAGTCCCGGGCTCCTGACACGTGCTCCCAGGGAGGAGGGAGGCTCAGGCAGCACAGCTTAGGGGAGAGCCCTCGGAAGGAGGGGAGGCCTGGGAGGGCTGGGGCCCCAGATCGCTGCAGGCCTCCAGCCGGGAAAGACAACAGCCCCTCAGAGCTAGGAGCTGGGGGCGGACCGGCGTCACCCCCAAAACCTTCGCTGACATCCCACCATGCAACTGGCTGCCCGGGAAATGCAGGGGGGCTGCCGCCTGCCCTGCCCAGACCTCTTGGCCCAGGCTCTGCACCCTGCCCTCCGGAGGG